CCCCAAAACCCCAAAACCCCAAAACCCCAAAACCCCAAAACCCCAATGCAAGGCGACATGATAGAAAATCCTTAATTAGGACTGCATATAATTGTCAAGTAAAGATAGTTTTGACTCTATAGCGTCTATTAGCATCTCATTCACCTCTACAGTTCCTTCCATTGTTGCACCTTGAAGTTTATTCATCTGCTCTTTTCTTTGAGCATTTTCTTCAAGGAGCCTTGCCTTACTCTTGAGCAGTTGAGCTTTGTCAGTCTCATCAAGATTATCCATTTCTGCTATTGCCTTCCAAGCATGACTATGGTTTAGTTTACTCTTAGTGTCAGGATTATCTCTTTTTGCTCTTCTATCAGCAAGCCAGTCCACTGCATAGCCTTCTCTTTTTGTCTCAGGCTTTGGAACCATTGGGTTATGGAACTTCTTCCAGTCTGGCTTTCTAAGAATCTTTTCTCTTTCTGGACTCTCACTACTATTGTACCTGCTGCCTTTCATGCTAGGAGACCTGAACTTTGGCATCTTCTTTTGTCCCATTTTACCTTTCAGTTCTTCAAGCTCCTTCTTCTTCCTTGGCGATACAGTTGGCCAGTGCATTTCTTTAACTATTTTGGCATAATTATTCATTTTATCAGCTTTATGCTTCCTATGGGAGCTGCTCTCTCTTTCAAGTTCAGCTTTGATCTTCCCTTCAGCGATTGCTTTCTCGTAAAACTTAGTCTTGTACCTGTTCTCGTCATAAACTCCGTATCCGATATCTGAGTACCATTTTTCTCTCTTAATCCTCTGTTTTTCCCTCTCAATCTTGACTTTTTCCTGGTAATCTTTCTCGAATTCATCAAGCTCCTCTCTCTTCAGGGGCTTGTGGAACTTTCTGATGTTGTTCAGGTCCTTTTTCTTCTTCTCCAGTTCAGGCATGAGCACGTCATGGTTGTAACGCTCTTCGATCTTTTTGTACATTGGCTTAGAGACTTTTTCTTTGGCTTTGTATTCCTTCCAGATTCTTTCTCGTTCTGCTCGCTCTTCTTGTTCCTTCTTGAGTTTTTCTTTGTGCTCTTCGATTTTGTCGAGCATTCTTTTCTTTTTCTTTTCTTCTAGCATTTTCTTTTTGGATGCTGCGCTGTCTATAAAAGGTGAGTTTAGACTTTTTTTTATGCCTTGTTAAGTAAGAAATCCATACCTAGAAAAGTTTTGGTCTTATAGGCTTCCTTATCTCTTCTCTTTTGTTTCTCTTCTTGTAACTGCTTTTCTCTCTCCTTCATCTTGTTGACAAACTCTTCAGCATCTTTTTGAGATTTTAAAAGCTCTTCTTTGGACATATGCATTTTATCTTTATAGTGCATGATTCTTGCATGCTTTTCTGATATTGGCAATCCAATTTTATCCTCTAAAGAGTGCAATTCATGCATTGAGTTCCTATTTTTAGATTTCTTTGCAACTACTAGAGCTCCTTCTTCTCCCTCTCCTTCATCTTCTGGCTGGGCATTAGAGTCAGACTGAGCCTCTTCAGCTCCAAGTAATTGAACATTTTCTTCGATCAATCGAAGTTTTTCGTCCATCTCTTCTTTTCGGAGTACCGCTTCATGAATACCCATATGTTTTATCTTCTTTTTAAGCTCAATCTTTTTATTGATGGCATGCATCTTGATGTTGATGGGCTTGAGATCTTTCTGGTCATCTGTGACATCTCTTTCACCATCATTTATTTGGTCCCTTATCCTGTAGATGGCCTTGGACGTCTCCTTATTGACATGATCTCTGATATTAAGCTTAGTACCTTTTATGGAATTTTCATATTGCTTCTTCATGTATTCCTGTCTACCTGAGAAATCAGGCATTTTAAAGTTCGATATTTTAGCAGGAACAAGAGCTGTTGAATGCTCTGACTCAGACATAAATTTCTGTAAATTATATTAATATTTTATATCAATTTTTATGCAGTCAGACGGGGTTTTGGGGTTTTGGGGTTTTGGGGTTTTGGGGTTTTGGGGTTTTGGGG